CTGGATGAAGCACAAGCTGGAATCAAGATTGCCAAGAGAAATATCAGTAACCTCAGATATGCAGATAACACCACCTTTATGGCAGAAAGTGAAGAGAAGCTAAAAAGCCTCTTGATGAAGGTGAAAGAGGACAGTGAAAAAGCTGGCTTGAAACTCAACACTCAAAAAACAAAGATCATGGCATCCGATCCCATCACTTTATGGCAAATAGAAGGGGAAACAGTGGAAACAGTGACACACTTTATCTTCTTGGGCTCTAGAATCTCTGCAGATGGTGACCGCAGGCATGAAATTAAAAGATGCTTGCTCCTTGGAAGAAAAGCTATGACAAACCTAGACAGCATATTAAAAAAGCAGACACATTTCTTTGCTGACAAAAGTCCGTATAGTCAAAGCTATGGTTTTTGCAGCAGTCACGTACAGATGTGAAAGTTGGACCATAAAGAGGGCTGAGCGCCGAAGAATTGATGCCTCTGATCTGTGGTGTTGGAGGTTTTTGTGAGTCCCTGTGGACTGCAGGGCTTCCCTGGTGGCTCAGATGGTAAAGCATCTGCCCGCAATGCGGGAGACCTGGGTTCGATCCCTGGGCTGGGAAGATCCCCCGGAGAAGGAAACGGCAACCAGCTCCAGTATTCTTGCCTGGAAAATCCCAGGGACAGAGGAGCTGGTAGGTTACAGTCCGTGGGATCGCCAAGAATTGGACATGACTGAGCAACTTCACTTTCACTTTGGACTGCAGGGAGATCAAATCAGTCAATCCTAAAAGAAATCAATCCTGAATATTCATTGGAAGGACTGATGCTGAAGTTGAAGCTCTGATACTTTGGCCACATGATGTGAAGAGCCAACTCATTGGAAAGACTCTGATGGCTGGGAAAGATTGTAGCAATAAAAAGGAATGGACTACTGATAAATGCAACAGTTTGGATGAATTTCCAGATTATGTTGAATTAAAAAAAAACTAATTGTAAAAGGTTATTATGTAATGTGATTCTATTTATATAACAGTCTTGAAATGACAAAATTATAGAAATGGAGAACAGACTAGTAGTTGCCAGAGGTTAAGGAGGGAATTAGGGGCAGGAGGGAGTAGGTGTGGCCATTAAAGGGCAATATAAGGGATCCTTGTGGTGATAGAAATGTTCATGTATACTGACTATATCAGTATTAACATCCTGGTTGTGATCTTATAGTGTATAGTTTTGTAAGGTGTTATCAATAGAAAAAACTAGATAAAGAGTACATGGGATTTCTATATTTCTTATAACTACACATCAATCTACAATTAACACAAAATAAAAAAACTCATTTAAAAAAGCAATGCAAGAAATTACAAGGGACAAGATAGCATAACATAAAACTTACATGGTGTACATAAAACTTTTACTTTCTGTAGATCAGACAAGGTCGAAAAGTTTTCAGAGCCTACACTAAAATTGGAAAAACACTTGTAGCAAATGTAATCAGCAAAGAAGCTGATATCTTTAATATATAAAAAGTTCTACAACTAATTTAGGAAACACCGATATCCACCTAGCTATGCAGTGCACAAAAGAAAAAAGTTCAACTGGCTACAAAACAGAAGAAAAATTATTTCATTCTCAGTAGTAATCAATGAAATGAAAAATGGAATTACTTCCTTCCTTCCAAATTGCAAATCTTCATTATATAACCTGTTCCCAAATAAGGTAAAATTATTCTTATTTATTTTCTACCTACTACTTAGGTTTTGTTGAAATTATGTAGAGTTTTAGCTCCAAGTGATTTATGCAGCTTTTAAAGATATTAGCCTTTTCTTAGTATTTAACAATGTCATTAAATTTCTAACCACATTATCAATAATTATTTATTTTACATTGATAATTCTTATAGATTTCATTTTTTACCACTTTCTTATATACAGTATCTTTCTTTCTTTAATTTAAACTTTTGATTAATTTTTGTATCTGTCAGAATACTTCCTTAAGGCCTTCTCCCAGCTCCCCCAAAATAGAAGAGTGCGCTTTCTAAGTATTGGACTTAACCATTTTTCACTTTGATACAAATAATTTTTTGGATGGGTATAAAATTATATGATGATGCCGTTTTCCCTTATAAGTCTGAAAACATTGCTTCATTCTCTACTTTCATTTGATGTTGAAAATGATAACTTTTATCCCAGTCTTATTCTTTTTCTCAATGGGCAACCTGTTTTTGGTTAGCTAGTTTCTGTTTTCTGTCTGGAAATTCGTATTCTTTTTATACTTAAAAGTTTGAATTTGTACAAGTTCATCAGCATATATCTGACTATGTATTAATGTATGGATTTTTCAAAGTATTTTTTACCTAGCATTTATCCATCTGAACACTTGGGACTTTATTCAACTCAAAAATATTTTCTTATAATTTCTTTGATTATTGCTCCCATTTAACCTACTCTGCCCTCTCACTGTAGAATTGTAATAATTCTAAGATTGGATCTTGGATAGGTCTTCTGTGCAGCTTGTCTTTTTTCTCATAATTTCCATTTCTTTGTCATGTTTATCTTTGTCCTAGGAGAATTCTTCACCTTGAACTTCTAATAATATATTAATTTGGTTCTCAGTCATGTCTATTTCAACCTACTCTTTTCTTCCTTATTCAGGTTAAATTTTTTTTTTTGCAATTAGGATTTTCAGTTTCTGACAGCTCTTTCTTATATTCTGTTTGCTCCTTTTTTTATATTGAAGCCTGATTGGTTTTATACATACAATAACCAGTTGAATATTACTGGAAATGTCAGTTAAAAGCTGATTGACCTTCCCTGGTGGCTCAGAGGTTAAAGTGTCTGCCTGCAATGTGGGAGACCTGGGTTCAATCCCTGGGTTGGGAAGATCCCCTGGAGAAGGAAATGGCAACCCACTCCAGTATTCTTACCTGGAGAATTCCATGGACAGAGGAGCCTGGTAGGCTACAATCCACGGGGTCGCAAAGAGTCGGACACGACTGAGCGACTTCACTTTCACTTTAGTTTGCTTAGTTTGGTTCCCATTTTGGAGTGCTGACTTCCTCGTAGGACCAGTGGGTTTTTGTTTCTTGCTTATGTTTTTAATGAAGTTCTTAGGTAATCAGTACGTTGGCTGATATGGGCTACTCAAGTAGTTATGTGAGTCACTGTTTGATTTTCTTCAGCAGACTTCCCCATCTTAAACCAAGGCAGATAGTCATGAAATTCCAACATTAAGCTTTGTTCTTGGTGTAAGGAGAGGCAGAAACATGCCAGAAAACAGATTTCACTCTTAAGCATTCAGTGGCTAGGAGCTAACTAGAGCTAACTTCCCCAGCCTCTGCCTTTGACCAAAGAGACTGTGAGGACCTTGGGTAGCTAAGCTCCAGTTTACCCAGCATACTGTCTGCAGTAAGTTAAGCCTGGGAATTAAGGCTGCATTGGCGAGATTCTTGACACACTACTACAGTGCTGGTGAGGATGTGAGAAAGGAGGTCAGTTTTTTTATATCACTGGTAGGACTAAAAATTTATACCATTCTTCTGGAAAGTAATTTGGCAGAGTATAAAAAAGGCTTTTAAAATGTCCCTCCCGTTTGGTCTAGTTTTCATATTTCTAAAAGTCTATCTTAAAAAAATAGGGAAATGGACATGGATTTATATTCAGAGATCTTAACTAATATGAAACTTACAATGGAAAATTGGAAAGAATCTGAATGTCTTACAGAAGGGGCATGGTAAATCATGTCAGTTATGTAGCTGTATGATGGGATATTTCGCAGCCAACTTTTAAATGCCTAATAATATGAAGAAGTACTCATGATATAATGTTGAGGGAAAAGAATCTGGGTACAATATTTTATGTACAGTATGATCCCTCTTTGTTAAAAAACAGAAAAATATCACTTGCAGTGATAAAAAGGCCAGAGGTAGTACAACACGTTGTTATTAGTGATGGGATTCTAGGTGATTTGTTTTCTCTTTTAAAATTTGTCTGGGTTTTTCAGATTTTCTACAATAAGCCTGTGTGACTTTGACTGTTCCCCCCCCACCCCTGATCATAAATGTTGTAAAAATGTGTCTCCACACTGTGCATGGCACCAAAAAAGACCCCAACTTTTCAGAATTTGTAGGCAAAAAAAAATGGTTTGTTAGGGTTCAACTTGCCAATTCTCATAATGTGCAAATGGGTTTTGAATTCTCTGGCTTTCACGTTGTATGGTGGGCACGGCTGCTATTGCCAGCACCGGCATATGAGCTCCAGCACGGCCCATCTGCTGCTCAGGCGCGGCTTGGCTGACACAGATTTATTTCATTTCATTCTTTAATTTGGCAACATTTTCTCTTTTCTCATTATCGTTGCTGGGATTCATTTTGTTTACCAGTTTGTTGTTTTCTTTTGTTCCCTGTCGTGAAGGCGAAGAAGCCAACAATGGGAATTCTCTCTTCTCAAAATGCAGTCCTTGTCCTTGGGGACCTTGGGCATGTCTTGCTCAACTGTGCTCTATTTCTGACACTTGCAAGCCATTTCAATTGCTTTGATTAGTAGAAGGCTTTGTGGTGTATTTTTCAAAGAGCTCAACATTCCTTTCCTTCTCCCCCACTCCCACCCCGCCCCTGGGAAGCTTTGGAAATGGTTCCAAATAGAAATTATAAACATTAGCCTTGAGCTATGCTCTCTCCATCTGGTGTTTGGCACTTTTTTTTTTTTCAAACTGAGGATCATGTTGTTTGTTTAATCTTCATCACTACTGCAGAAGCTTGAGGTGTGAGACTTACACTCTGCCCCAAGCACCCTGCACTTGAGAAGGGATTTTCAGCTGAATTAGTTTGTATTTCATAGAGCTGGTGGACAGTCAGCCGGATCGCCAAGAATTTGCTCAAGTTAAACTTGAGAACTGTTAGTCCTCTTAGAGATTTCTTGAATGGATTTGTTGGGATAGGATGGCTGCTGCCTGAGAAGCCTCTTTGAGCCTGACACTGTTTATTTGGAAGAGACATTCTTTGTAAGACCTTTGTGCTACTTTTTTCTCTAGGTTATCCCGAAGAGACTTATCCAATTTATGACCTTTCAGATTGCATCAAGCATAGGCAAGAAACCATCCTGGTGGATTACCCTGACTCAAAAGAGCCCTCTGCTGAAGAAATGGCTGAAAGAATGGGAGTGCTAGAAGAGGAAGTATCAGACCGTGTGGGTTGGGCAATGCCTACTGAGCCTAGAGCTCAGGAAGATAATTCTGTTACCTCATGTGACCTAGAGCCAGAACCATGTTCCTGCTGGTCTCCTGAAGAAGAGGATCCCGCCGTCTTGGCAGAGAATGCTGGATTTGGTGCAAACAGCTACAGTGAGCAGGAGGAAACCACCAGTGAAGTGTGGCCCTATGACTTGAGAGATGCAGTGTCAGGCATCAGTGCAGATAAAGCAGATCCAGTTGGCATGCTGAGGAAGCGGCATCCCCAGGGTTTAGAGTGAGAAAACAGTCAGTCTAGGACCATTACTGTAGTCCCAAGGTGACCTTTCTCTCTCTGATTTCATCCTTGGCCCTGTGCCCTGTACTTCATTCTCCGTGTTTAAGTATCATAGCCAATCAGGCCACTACCATGGATATCATGTATCCTTCCTGGTGCTTGCACACCTGTCACCTTATAAAACATCATAGAAATTAGTATGAACACAAGACAGCCTCCCTTTTTCTCTTCCTCCTTTGCTCCATCAGAGATTTGATCCACTGAGTAATTTTTGATCTATCATAATTACAGATGGGACCACTCAGGGCAGAGGTCTGACTCTCTGTGTTAGAAGTAGCAGATGGTTTACCTCTGACGAACATCAAATTACACATGATGAGGACTTAAGATTGCAAGAGTGAAGATTTGAGTCCAAGGTGCCTTGTTCGTTGGGCCTTGAGCAGGTTAGTGATCTGCTGGGTTCAAGAAGGAGAACCTTTTGTTTGTGGGGATGGTAGGGCCAGAGCGGGGACTCTTGCCTGAGCTGAAGCCACTTAAAGCGAGGGCCTCTTGAGGAGCCTGTTACAGTGAGGGCCTTTTGCAGAGCCCCGAGGCTGCCTCAAACCTCCACTTTTCTCCAGCATAGAAGACTCCCATTGATCTGAGAATGAGCCTAGAGGCTTGCTGGTAATAGTAGTAGTAGTGTTAGTCACTCAGTTGTGTCTGACTCTCTGTGACCCCATGGACTATAGCCTGCCAGGCTCCTCTGTCCGTAGAATTCTCCAGGCAAGAATACTGGAGTGGGTGGCCATATCCTTCTACAGGGACAGGCTTGCCAGGAAACAGTTTTTCTCTAATAATGCCTGGATCTCTAGCTTCCTTTATCCTTGTTCTGCTTAACAGAACTGCCCAGTGTAGAAGCACCTTCATACCTCTGGTCTTCCGTGGCCAGAGGAAGCTTGAGATAGAGACTTTAGTCCTTGCCCTGTGGAGCCAAGGTTTGAAGCTTCAGGAAAGGCTGCTGAAGGGTGGAGGTCCTGCCATGAGATGCCCACAAGGCCAAGGAGCGGCTGACGGAGAGTAAACCCATGTACTGACAGGCACTCCTTGCTTAAATGCTGTTTCTGAATGTTGTGTCCTCTGGGGAATTTGTTCTTACAACAAATTAAAACAGAAATGAGGAGGATTGAACTTGTAGACCATGTGCTGTCCTTGGTCTAAGGACCTTGGACCCAAGCTATTGGGTCCCTATATTGCAGGGACCCAATATAGCAATGCCTGGGAACAGACCACATGTTCTGTATTTGGATATCTGAGTCTATTGAGAAAGTTGGGCAAAGTGGGAGGTAGGTTAGGACAGGGAGGACTGTGACCAAACCCAAAGCCTAATTTCTGAGCTGCCATCGGTCATGTGTCTCCTTGAGGTAAGATGTGTTCTGTATAGTAAGGATGAGTGAATTCAGTTTACAGGTAAGACCTGAGAGTTTCAAGAGGACACATTCCCAAGGACCACGAAATGTAGAAGACTTGAAAACTAAGAAATCATGTAAAGGTGGACTTGGCTTTTAGAGTTCCACTATGCCTGGAATGAGTCAGAGGCCAAGAAAATAATTTAGTCACTGTTAAATCACATATAAGCATACACACTAGTCACTGTTAAATCACATATAAGCATACACACTGCTGTCACAGCATCATATTAAGATGATGTGTCAGCTGCAGCCGTGCATTTCTTGTTAATAACTACAGAGAAAAGTCAATGAAGACTGAGTCCATAGAAAGCATATTGTGTCTATCTCTGTGTGGAACATTAGATTCACTTGTAAAGAAAGGAGTTTAAAACGTACTGAGAACAATCTAGATGTAATATAATGCTGAAGGTAAAAAATAATGTAGGTGCTCTTTCCTGTTTCGATAAACTGTTTGCCATGTTCTTTCTCTTCATCACAGTGAGGGGCTGATTTATGAGGAGAGTTCTGGGACTCTGGTTCAAGTTTCTTTTTTCCCTTAGGATATGATTCCCTTATTAGAGGTGGATATTTGTTTCCTTCTGCTTATTCTCTCATTTATTCATCTTGCAGACCACTGCTCAATTCCTGCCTTTGAGAAAAAAAACACTCAGTTGAATATGAGAGCCTGATCCAGTTTATTTTTTAAAATGAACTGTAAACTGTAAAAGGGCTCAAGATGGTGAGTTCTGCAGGCAGAGAAGTGTTGGTCACAGTTCCATCCTTGTCTATTCTAGTTGTAGAATCTGGCCAGCTCCTTAACCGTGAGAACTTTCTCATTGCTAAAGCTGGGGAGTCAAGAGCCCAGGTCTTACAGGGTATGAGGATTAAATCCACAGCTACGGAGATTAAGTAAAATCATCACTGCTTATAAAACAGCACTGGTCCTGTCTCACATAGGATAACTACTCAGCAAGCGGTAGCTACTTTATTGTGCAAGATTTTATACTATAATTGAGATATGGACCCAAATCCACATGAGCGCAAAGGAAGAAAAGGTCACTTTTGCTAAAGTACTTCCAAGAAACTCCACAGAGGAGATGGGTCTTGAGGGATGCTATGAACTTCTCCAGATATGCAAGGAAGAGAAAGGATACAGTTGGCAGAAAGAGTGGTGGTAGAGCAATGAGGTGTGAAAGTAAATGGATGTTCAGGTATTTTGATATTTGAGGCTGGTATGTAAGGTGTCACATAACCAACTCTTTATTTGGAATGTTCATCTCTGGGCGAATTTGGCTTGTAGAAACAGTTCCTGCCCCAAGTACTGAGACCTCATGATGATTTTTGCTGCCCTGATTCTTCGTGGGCTTATATAACAGGAAAATATTTATGTATTTATATTTTTAAAAATTTACTTTTCAGTCATTTCAGATTAGGCAGTCCTTTTTGGATTTTTCAGAATTATGTTATTCTTCAGGGATGAGATTATATTTATATATAGAGTCCAGGATGACCAAAGTCATGGGCCTGGTTTTTGTCATCTCTTTTCTCCTGGTCTTCGTTTCTCCAGAACTGATCTGGGCTGAGAACTTGATCAGTCCCCTGGCACTAGATCTGCAGTGACTTTTGGGCACCATGGCAGAACACAGAGTCATACCTCTGGGGTCAGATAGTTGGCCTAGGAAATAACTGCATCATGTGGGGCCATGCTTAGTAACTCAGGTGGGTGACCTGGCCTGGAGATGCCCTTCCCTGGTCAGACCAGGAGCACAAGCAGAGCACCTCCCTAGCTCCAGGACCAGTGCCGTGGGAGCTCGGGAGCCAGGGACAGAGAGCTGCAGTGAGGAGTGGAGGTCCGTATGGCCTCTGGAAGAGATGCCTGTGAGCACCCCATGCAGCTTCCATGGCCTGGGTCACCCAACGACTTACAGTCCAAACTGGGACACTTTAGGAAAAGGGAGCTTTAATAATAATTACACCAGGATGATAGCTATCAACCAGGACTCTCCATGGACCCTGTCCAGAGCTGTTGAAGAGATCATCTTTAACCTGATCACTAAACTACAAAATCCTCTTTCCTTTTTGTCATAGTAGTGTCCTGCATATGCTATTTCCCAGAGGCAAAGCCATGGAGAGCGGCCACAGTCCAGCTAGGTTCTTGATCTAGGGTAATAAACCAACACTACTCATCACCACATTAAATTCCCTCAACCCAGGCTACATTCCAGAGGAAAACTGAACACGTCAGCTACCCAGAAATGAGAAAAACAAAGTATCACAGACTTTGCCTTGATGATTTTCATACAAATCTAAAATGTACCTAACATTAGGTTTTTCCTTTCCCATTTTCTTATACAAATTAAATAGGCTAAATTTCTCCTTTTCCTTAGATTACTCCTTAACTTCTCTAAGTACCAGTTTCCTCAGTTTTGCATTGGGAAGCTCTCCCCTTGCAGAGCTGTTGGGATGAAATGAGATGCTTTGTATAGCATCTGTCCAGAGTGTAGCCTGTGCTGGGTGCCCAGGCCAGTGCCATCAACAGCATAGCACTCACCAAGTTCCTGCGCTGCCAGGCTGTTGGACTTGACACTCCAAGGCTATCCTGACTGCCAGGAATGGCCCAGAGCCCAGGTCCTGCAGTCACTGGGTGACTTCAGTTTTGACCGCCCCACCTAGGACCAGACCTGTAGCTGTCAGGCATAACTGCAGCCTCCCTTCCTCTTGACTTCAGATCTGCCACAGGCTGAAAAGAAAATTCCCAAGCGTGTAGTGTGTCCAGGTTCTGTTTAAACAGGTCGAGCTGCTCTGCATATGGCTAGAGGAACCCAGTGTCTGGGTCTCTTCATGTTATTTCTACCACTTTGGCCTTCCCCACCTTTTTCCAGCTCCACAGCCCTGTGTGTGTTCCTCGGGGCCATGCCTACAGGGTTTACTAGGAAGCAGCAGCCCGCTCTTCCGGCTGGCACAGCTGAGCCTGCAAAGGATGAGCTAGCTTAGTATCTCCTGTCTTTACCCTTCTTCCAAGCCCTTCCCAGCCTCTGCATGTGGGGTTCTGACCATCTTTAAACTTGAGGAGCACAGCCAGAGGAAAGAGAGTTTCCTCCCACAGGTGACTGTTTCCAAACCAGCTATGATCCCCTTGTTACCACAACCCTCCTGCCCTTCCCTGAGGCTCTTGGGGCAGAAGGAATGAATGTTGTAGAAAAAAACTTCTAGGTAAGAAACGTTTTTTCTTTCATAGGGGGGAAAAAAGTGCACAGCAGTGTTGAAACAGTTCAAGTTTAATTTGTTGATATATGGTCTGTACTTAGACAAACATTAAGTTCTACAACATACATAATGTCAACATGGGAAAATACCAACTTTGTCATTGCACATACTAATAAATAAATACATTTGCTCCAGAATACCAAAGAGTTTATTCAAAAAATCACTTAATAAAAGCACAGTTTTGCAAGTTTGTCTAAAACTCGATAATTTTGAACAAAAATAAAATGTCTGACCACTCCAAAATAGGAAAAGACAATCTTGTGCAAACAGACATACACATTCTAGGCATTATGCAAACTGGCTAAATGTATGCTCTCAGCAAGAGAAGTGTCACCATTCTAAGTCCCCTTTGTCACCAAATGCAGGACTAAAGAGGCCAGAGTTGGGCTTCCCTTTCTAAGTCACTCTGTTACTCTCTAGGAAACTCTGGATCTCAGCCTAATTTCCAGCTCTGCCTGGATCTTGAGAGGGAAGCAGGGAGGGACAAGAGAACAGAAGAGGAAAGAGGTGTGACATCTTTCTCAGGAAAGAAAAAAGGCACAGTGATGAGCCAGAAAGTGATGAGCAAGGACCAACTTTCATTCACCCCGAATCCTACCGCAAGCTGTGACAGTCTAACCTTATTCTGTGAGAAAACAGATCTAGAAAAATCACATGGTTTGCTCAAAATCACTTGATTACTAAGTGCAGTAGTGCTTTCTGTAAGACCAACTTGCTTCTCAACCTGGTTGGAAAATTCAAAAACCAAACCTGTCCCAAAACTTCTGTTGGACTTTTCCCCCCATATCCTGAGATGAAAAAAAATTGCAAGACTAGAGGCATGGAAGGACAGATGATCAATAAACTCAAAAACAAGAGCCCATAGTTTGGCCTGTTCTGGGGGCCGCTCCAGTTATACAGGCCAGGGCCCAGGGCAGTGTAGGGTCCCGGCGCTGGGCCCTGAGTGCCAGGGAGTCAGGCCCCCCTCAGTGCTGGGCACCAGAGCAAGCAGCCACCTTCAGCTCTCAGGAAACGTGTGCTCTGAGCGCCCCCTGGCATCCTGAGGTCACAGGGCTATCTCAGCTGGGGTAAGGAACTGTAGAGAAGGGAAGGCCAGTGTTCCCACAGGAAGGGAAAGCCAGGGACCCCACCCTGGAGACGGAATTTGTGCTTGCGTTAACAGCCGTGGACCCACCCCCCTCACTTGCTGTAAGGAAAGCACAGGCATCTTAGTTTGAAATCATCACTGTGGCTTGTTAAGTTCAGAACTACCTCTGAATATATGGTAAATTCATTTTGAGGTAAATGCCCCACTATTTCTAGAGCAAAAAAAAAGACATCTGCTCCTACAGTTTTGTTCCTTCTTGTCACTGCAGGAGGCAGGCCCCAAAGGTTCTCTTCTAGCCTGTGACGATAACACTCCCTGGCTTCTAACACCTGTCCTCAGCATGGGTCTGGACCTCACATGCTCCTTCTGGATTAGTGTCATGATTTTTAAGGCACATTCAACTAGAATAAGTTCAAATTCATCCAAAGCACGCGTGCAACACACCAATTTCTCCAGGTAATACAGAGTGGAAACTGAAGAACTACACTTTTTTGGATAGTGTCTTCCCAAGCAGAACCTCCAGAGAAGGAGTTGGTACTTTCCCAGGTACGCTTTCTGATCAAGGGCATGAAATGAATGAACAAAATCCACAGGTGATCATAGCTACATCCTCATTCCTTTCCTATTCATCCACAGAAATATGATCATAATAGGAAACCTTAATTGATTGTTCACCAATTGCCCTTGGCCCCAAATACACACAAAGAGACAGACACAGAGCACCTTAGAGCCATAAGGAAGGAAAAGCCAGGACTGGAGAAGAGTTAGGGATGTGAACCTTACTGCTCTGCAGAACTGTGTGGGGCAAGAGATGGGGTGTGGCCCCCGGAGGAGCTGGCGGCAGGAGCGGTTACAGAGGAGCTGCCTAAGGCCCCGGCTACCCAACTCCCTTGGGGCGTGCTTGTTCCATCACCAAGTTCCCTGCCCAACCAAGGACCATCTGGGTAGCGGGTACAAAGGGCAAGGACTCTTACTGTGGGGGAGAGACTGAGCCCAAGTGATCTCCAGGGGTCCCAGCAGCTTTAGGAGTCTGGGCCCATGGCTAAGGAAAACCAGCATCACCCAGAATGGGGTCTTAAAAAAGACCTTGCGAGGCTGGGTCTCCAGCAGGTGATGAGTGCTCTCACCTGTCACTCCGTACCTAACAGAGGGTTTTGTCGTTGAGCTACCCTCTGCCACTGCCAGGCTGGAACTCTCAGGCCACACTCCTGACCCTAATGAAACACCCGTCAACCCATCCTCTGCGTACTAGAGGAGTGAGCAGGAGACACATTTTCCATGGTATATCTGATGAATTCTCCACTCTGCCACCAGGATCCTCCCTCTCTCAAAGATCCAGAATCAACCTTTCTACCTTAAAATCACTGACTCAGAGAAACAACTTGACTAGACGTTCGAGGCCATCTAGCTTCTGTCATTCCAAATGTCAGTAGGTCTCTCTTCTCAAAGTCAAGACAGGAAGAGCCAAATTGGGACTATGGAAAGGAGGACAGCACAACATTTCTTTCCTGGGAAGTGGACCTGCTCCAGGACAGAAAATTACAGCGCCCTCAAGAAGGTTCCAAGTCAGAGTGGTCTAGCTACCAGATGATGTTAACAACCAGAGACAGAAGCCCCAGGTGTGGCCAGGTCCCTACTAGGACAGGCGGCCTCGCTTTAAGCACTCAACAGGTGAAAACCTAGATTCCCAGGAAATGAGAACAGCCTAGTTCCACTGAAGTCAAAACAGCTGCACCACCTCACTCAGGGCCTTGCTAACATGTCTGAAGTGTGACTTTTAAAAAACCCAACTTCTGCGTAGTCTTTCCAAGGACATCCGTCTTACTCTGAAGTCAGGAACGACTCTCATTTGCTTCCCGCTGATTTCTGATCTCCATCTGGGCCGGCAGCCTCTGTCAGGGCGAATGACACATACGCAAGCCTTCCCAAGTCTGCAGCGTGGATGGTGCCATCCGAGGGGGAGGGCGGCAGAGGGAGAGGTCAGGCCACTCACAACCACCTGTCACACCTGGATAGAAAACTGGGCAGCAGCCTTGCTAAAGCCTGCCCTCAGGGTGGGGGGAGCCAGACACGCCAGTCCTGGTCAGATGGACATGCAAAATCCAGACAGCTTTCAGCAGGGAACTGCCCGGTTTCCCACTGAAAAGGTCTCAATTTCACCACCTCTTGACATTTCTGAGTCTAGAATCAGGTGCATGGGAATGCACACTGCGCCCCAGGAAGGCCAGAGTTTTGGGGGGATGGTGGGAACAAAGAAATGAAGGGAGCTGAAATCCGAATTCTGCCCTTAACCAGCCAGGTGAGCCCAGGCAAGTCCATCTTCTAGGTGATCTCTAAGGGTCGGTCCTGCCACCTCTGATCCCTTGTGGTTCTAACATGCCTCCCACTCTCCTCACCCTTTCCCATTCCCAGCTCACAACTACACACACGCCCTCAGTGGCCACAGCCTAGGCTGACTGCAGGGAGCTGTCGCAGAGGCAGGAGCCCCAGGCACACCCACCTGTGTGCAGTCTGGGGCTCCTCCTGGGGTTCCCTGGGTCAGCCCTGGCCCACGTGCCACCTGGATGCTCAGCCTGGATGGATCCTACAGGCCCTACCTGCTAAGACGGTTGGCCTTGGGGGCCGGCCTCCTGCCACCTCTGTGCACACAAAGAAATCCTAGAGAAATCAAACAGTCCCAACCCCAGGCCGCCAGCCAATTCCTACAGCCATAGCCGGGCCCTGCCCCTCACCTTTCCACCCCAATTCCTCCCAGGCCTGGCAGAGGCCAGCTGATGCTCGAGGACTTTCTGCAGTTGTAAGGGCCAGGCTCAGCTACCCAAGCCTGTGCTATGTAAAGCTGACGTGCCCCAACACTCACACACGCGCTCTCACACACACACCCTCTCAACCGAGCCCCGCACTGCTGGGGCCCCATGGTCATCTGACTCCGGGCTGAGTGGACGCTGGGCCGCGGCAGCCCTGCCTTGTGCTTCCTCTCCCTCCCCACCTCTTCCCACCTCCCCGGCTGAAGAGGCTGCTCCGCTTGGCAAACATGACTGCAGCAGGATACTAGCCCGAGAGTGGGGGCACAGAAAGGATTTGCGTTGGTCCCCTCATGCCCCCCACTCCTCTGCCTCAGCAGCAAAGGCAGAGGAGCCACTCCCCGGATGGCTGAGCCCGGGGGCCCACGGAGAGCCCAAGGTTCACCTGGCAGGGGGCCTATGTACAGGGGGTCGGTGGGGCTGCTCCACAGGCAGGCGGGCGGCTCCACTCCAGGCTGGGCAACCCCAGAGGGCACGAGGCAGCCGCTACTCGCAGGCCAGCTTGCTGTCGAAGCTGGACAGGGCAATGGCAAAGGCCTGCAGCGCGCACAACGGGTAGTTGTAATCCATGGTGAACACGTCCTCTGCTACGCGGCCAAACTGCATCACGATGTAGTCCGCTGGAGCCAGGCAGAAGTGTGGACAGAGAGAAGGGCAGAACAGGGATGCGGAAGGACAGACAGACACCCAAATCATGAGAGGGAAGAGAGAAGGCCAGAAGCAGAGATGCCAGGAGAATCCCAGAGGAGGTAAAGCACAGACCAAATGGGAGAAGTGGTAGGAGAGATGGAACAGGTGACAAGACACAGACACACACCAGGAGATGGGGAAGAAGAGAGGAAGTCCATTCAAAGGGGGGTCCTGCGCCTGAGACTCTGCCGTGAGCACAGAATCTAGGGTCAGGGCTCCAGAGGAGGTTCTTCCAGGGCCTCCCAGTCATTAAGGTTAGAAAGTACTTTACTAACCGAATAACCCATGTCCTTAAACTCTGACCTTTACAGGCATGGCTGAGTGGGCTAAATCCCAAGCTAAGGGCCCCGGTGTCATTCGGACAGTCATGAGTCAGGGCAGAAACACTCACGGTCATTGCCGTGGATGATCTGGAAGTTCTTCACCGAGGCCTGAGTGACGCGCCCATGGAAGTTGAGTACATAGGACTGCGTGTCATCGTTCCAGACGGGCGTCTTGTTTTGCAGCTCGATGATACTCTCCGTGTTCTTGTTCTGCCAGCGCGCTAGCAGCGTCTCATGCTCCTGGGAGGGCAGCCTCGGCTGAGCCAGGCCCGGGCCTCGGGCCCATGACCGCCCCAGAGAATGATCTGCCCCGGGGTGGGGGTCCTTAGATCTCCCTGAGACCCCCAGGGCTTCTCACGTTGTCTACACACACACACCCCCGCTGGAGCTGTGCCCTCAGAAGTGCGTGAAGGGGCTGGGAGAACAGGGAAAGCAGGTGGGGTGGGTGGAGACTCACGTTGCGGGGCCGGATAGAGACTCTCTCATGAACCATGGTCATTCCTGGGACAATCACACTCATCTTCCGCGGCCCCTTAAAACCTAGGACGTTTGTCTCCTGCGAAAGAGAGAGAGAAGCTTGCTCAATACTGGCCATCTGAAGACTCTACCTACCTGCTGGACAAACTGGAGGACGGGATAAAGATGAGCTAGTCAATCACCACTCGAATGTACAGGAGGCATCTGTACACTTAACCATGTCCAGAATCGGCTCCTTAATCTCCACTCTGCCCAAACAAGCTGTGCTTACCATCTTCCTTGCTCCAGTAAATGACATCTCCATTCTTCCATCTGCTCAAACTACCTGCAGTCGTAACTTAACTCCCCCCACCCTCACATACCACTTCTAACCCATCAGCAAATGCTGTCAGCCCTTCCTTCAGGTTACACTCAGAATTCAACCACTTTTCAACCACCACCATCTCTCAGCAAGAGCAAGGACCAGCCTTCAGCTGGACTCTTCATCTCCTAAGCCCCCGCCCCACCTCCTTGTCATCTGTTCTCCACACAGTGCTGAGCAGTCCTGGTGAGTCAGGTCGTTCTTCTCAGTTCACTCAGAGTAAAAGATGACGGTCTTACCTCGTCCTGCAAGGCCTCATGAAATATGGCCCATCACCCCCTCTCTTCACCACCTACTCTCCGCTACACTCACGGCCCTCCTCCTGCTCCCGACATGCCAGCGTTTTTGCTCACCATATTCTCAACGCCTGCACGGTTGGCGCTCACTTCCTTCTGGCCTTTATCCAAGCACCACCTCAGTGAGGCCCTCCCTGCCATCCTTCCTAAAAGAATATTCATAGCCCTCTTCTTCTTCTGGCGTGCTGCAGTTCATGGGGTCGCAAAGAGTCGGACACGACTGAACAACTGAACTGAACTGAGCTCTCTTCCTGCTTTATTTTATCCTTCTTCAGTTCAGTTGCTCAGCCGTGTCTGACTCTTTGCAACCCCAAGGACTGCAGCACGCCAGGCCGCCCTGTCCATCACCAACTCCCAGAGCCTACTCAAACTCATGTCTATTGCGTCAGTGATGCCGTCCAACCATCTCATCCTCTGTTGTCCCCTTCTCCTCCTGCCTTCAATCTTTCCCAGCATCAGGGTCTTTTCAAATGAGTTGGTTCTTCGCATCAGATGGCCAAAGTATTGGAGTTTCGGCTTCAGCATCAGTCCTTCCAATGAATATTCAGGACTGATTTCCTTTAGGATTGACTGGTTGGATCTCCTTGCAGTCTAAGGGACTCTCAAGAGTCTTCTCCAACACCACAGTTCAAAAGCATCAATTCTTCAGCCTTCAACTTTCTTTATGGTCCAACTCTCACATCCATACATGACTACTGGAAAAACCATAGCCTTGACTAGACGGACCTTTGTTGGTAAAGTAATGTCTCTACTTTTTAATATGCTGTCTAGGTTGGTCATAGCTTTTCTTCCAAGGAGCAAGTGTCTTTTAATTTCATGGCTGCAGTCATCATCTGCAGTGATTTTGGAGCCCCCCAAAATAAAGTCTCTGTTTCCATTGTCTCCCCACCTATTTGCCATGAAGTTATGGGACCAGATGCCATGATCTTAGTTTTCTGAATGTCACATAGATGTTTTATAGCTTACCTCCCCCACTCAGCGTTCAAGCCCCAGAAGGGTGTATCTTTGTTCACTACTGTCTCAGTGCCTCAAATGGCACTTGGGGCTAAGTACCACCTGAAGAGATTCAGACTGCCTCCCCAGAGCTGACCAGCAGGTGGCACCATTGGATCATACGAAACAGCTATGAAGTCCCAAGTTAATGGTACCAGTCCCTCATTTTGAAATTAGATGGAGAAATTCCTTGTGTTTATATCCCAGTTCGGTATCTATGAGCTGTGTGACACTGGCAAGGGACCCAACCTCTGATATTCAGTTTCCTCATCTATATAATAAAGAAGATCGCCTCGAGCTCTTAGGTTGAATAGTCAGTGAGATGATTATGCAAAGGGCCTTATAGTCCATTTAGTACCTGAATACTGGAGGGAAGACTGGAGGGTTGCGCCAACATGAACCCAGGCCTCCTGCCTCCTCCTTCCCAGGAGGCATCCAGGCTGGGCTGCAGAGAGGCAGCCCTAGTTCCCAGAACTTGCCAGGCAGGGGCCACTCCACGGCACCTCTTTGTCTGCCCATAAGAGTACATGGAATAGGCCACAGACAGGTAGCAAGTCCTGAGTGTCATGTCTATCTGGAAGCCCAGAGACTCAGGGCCCACGACTCACGTAGCAGACAGCAGCCAGCTCCTGACGCAAGGTTCCACTTTCCAAAGTAGAGGCTGATGCTTTCTGAGGGTTGACTCCATTATCATAAACGGTGAACTTGGTGCCCATGAGGTTAGACCTGAAGGACAGACACAATCAGTGTAGGGTCATGCATCCTCTGTCCCTGGGCAGGGAGTTAGCTCAGAGGCTGTCCTAGGGAGGAAAGACTGGAAGGGACCTCCATGACCTTTGTGGGCAGAGAGCAGCTCAGAGGCTGTCTTACATGGTGCCTACAAAGCATTCTGGGCTGGGCCAGGAGCAGACCTGGGGGTACACTGTTCACAGAATCATCTCAGAAGGCGCTTCGTGGACAGAGGGCCTCGACTTGCTCCGAGTTTAATCAAAGGGCATCTCAGCTGAGTTCAGGGAAATTGGAGTGCTACAGAAACTCTCCCTGGAGGAACTGGAGTGGCTCCCCTCGTGGTAGGTGAGCTACCAGAGGGGCACCTGGCAAGACTGCAGAGGGGACTCAACACCACATGGAGGGTGGAGATGATCCGCTCTGTCCCGTTCAGCCTGGGAGTTATGGTCCAGCCCCAACTCCAGCTCTAAGCTTGACTTATGCTCCTGAATCTGCCACACTTGTCAGCACACCCTCCCTCACCTGAGGCCTAGCTCAGAGCCTTTGCCCCAACCCAAGGTTGCTTCCTCTTTCCTCAAGGGCCCATTCCTGCCCCTTGGCACTGACTGTCAAGGCGGCTCTTCCAGGGTGGCCTACATCATCCCTGACATCCTGGGGTTTGATCTGTCCCCCAGAGGGCCTGTGCTCCCTCTGCCTGGGAGCAGCTTAGGGTAGGATGAGTGAGGCTCATCTTCCAACCTGGCTCCAGGCTAGCACAGATCTGAGCCTGCGGTTGATCTGATGGACAAAGAGGAGCCTGGGAGAAGGTCTGACGCTTGACCTACTTCAGGGGCAGGAGCTGCCCTCTACAGAGCCTGCCCCTGCCTGCCCCACCCCTGCTGGCCGCCCGGGGGCATGCTGGTACCGCAGTTTCCCGATGTAGCTGTCCCCTCCTCTAGACAAGTCAGTAGGGTCCACGGAGATGAGGTAATTGGAAGTTTTACTCTTCTTTCTCTTCCTTCCCGCCAGGAGGAACACCTTGGGGAGTGGAGCAAAGTCAAGCATGTCCCAGGCCCAGCCTCTAGTCCACATGCAATCCCAGGACCACTCACACACCCTCACTCACACAAGTGATCCCCCTCGCTTCAGCTCTTGAACATACACGTGTGCACACATATGCACTGACGGGGCACACAGGCTTCTGTCTCTTTGGGGGAACTGGCAGGTCAGTGCTGGACCTGAGGCTTCCAGTCCCACTCCAGCCCCCAGGACCTTAAGCCCACAGCGTCAAACTGCGCATCCAAGCCAACCTCACCTTCTTCCCGTCCTCGCGGTCCAGGTGCAGGAAGTAGGTGGGGTACATGCCCCGGTCCATGCCCTTCTTGTCCCGTGTGATGCGGCACTTGATGGTGATCCCCTGGGGGGCCGGCCTCAGGGCAAACTCTTCGAGATCCTGGACCTCAACATCCACTGACGGCTCGGGGGCTGTGGGGCTGGGGGCCGAGGCTGCCTCCTGCCCAGGAGAGAGGAGGAGCCTGAGCTCCAGGCAGGGACCCCAAGCTGCTGAAGTTGGTGGTCTGGAATCCAAAGCTGCCCCCGTGTGGTGGTGGTGGTGGGAGACAGGGCTTGCACCCTGGGATGTGGGCACAGAGATCCCAGCCCTGGGCCAGCAGCTGGCTTCCTAGCCCTTCCTTCAGCTCAGCACCCCAGGGTGGGGATGGAGGGAACAGGCAGGCTCTCAGAAGCCATGCTGTCCGACTCCAGCTCCTCCGTCCTCTGGCCTGACTGAAGACTGGGAGGACAGAAGAGCCCCGGGGGAAGCAGCTCTTGACAGGCACGCCAACTCTGCATCACTTCACTTCGTTCCCCTCCCACCTGGCGACAGTGCCGTTGGCCTTCCTCCTGAGCCAGAGCTCCTCACTCACCCTGGCGGACTTTCTGCTTGTGGCAGAGCTGGGGCGGGTGTTGCTGTTGAGCTGGGAGGAGCTAGAGCTGTTCTCGTCCTCTTCCTCCTCTTCCTCTTCGAAGCTCATGCTGCTGGAGATGCCTGGGCCAGGCAGAGGAGTGGGAGGGGACAAGCGGTCACACAGGCACACCCAGACAGTCACACGTTCACTGGCTCCAAATCACCCGTATACACCACACACACAGACACACACGCGGAGTGGCATGTACACACGTGCATCCACACACTCCCACGCACACATTCAGATGCACACTAGGACATTCTCCAGTGCATATATGAGCTGGGGCTGGTCACTGTCCCCGGGTGCAGCCCCCCTCCCAGCCTCAGCTGTCAGACCCTTGCTGTCTGGCAGCCAGGGTGCCCTGTCTCCTGGGTAGCAAGGCCTGAACTGAGCTGGCCCTGCCTGGGAGCCTCCATCTCTGGCCTCAAGTCTATTGGAGGCCTTGGCTGGCCAAGTCTATAAAATCTCAAGAAAAGTCCCAACTCCTCATTCAGCCTGATGCTCGGGGCCCACCAAGTCTCTCCAAAGAAAGTGAAAGTCGCTCAGTCGTGTCCGATTCTTTGCGACCCATGGCTCCTCTGTCCGTGGAGATTCTCCAGGTAAGAATACTGAAGTGAGTAGCCATTCCCTCCTCCAGGAGATCTTTCTGACCCAGGAATCGAACCAGGTCTCCTGTATTGCAGGTGGATTCTTTACCAACTGAGCTACCAAGGCAGCCCATCCTCTCCAAAACCCGCCGCATCTACATGCCTTCACATCTTCACCCCAGCCTCAGCAGTCTTCCTCCAGGAGGCTGTCCCTTGTGAGACATCTCAGAACATGTGCACTGCAGGCTCTCCCTCCACCACCTCCCTGGGGCAGAGCTCACTCTCTGGGCGGCAGGTCTCCTGGGAGGGTCTGCCTTGCCTCTCAGCCTCCTCCTGGCCCTGCTCCCTCTAGCTCAGTGGGGACATTTCCTAAGAAAAGAACTTTCTCAAATGGACCAAAGGGAAAGGAAATCTGTCCCCAAACCTGGGCCTCCTTGCAGGCAGGAGACGGGGATGGGGACCCAGGGCTGGGCTGTGGGGTGGCTGGGTTCCTTTAGCCACACTTCTCTCCCTCAATGCAGCCTTCTCAGGGGTCCCTGCCCAAGTTGCTCACTGGTCTCCAAGTGTGCCCCCTGCCAGGGCCTGGGAGGGGCTGAAACAGACACAGGATGGCCATGCTCCCTGAGAAAGGTGCATCTGAGAACCTGGGGCTGAGCTTTGGGGGGTGTCTCTGGACCCCCACGGGGCTCACCCTTCCTCTGCATCGTGGCACGGATGTCCTGCCCGCCGGGCTGTGCACCGCCACCTGCGGCCGTCTCCCCCGCGTCCCGGACCTGGTCGGACTGGCCCACAGTCAGGATCTGCACAGGGCCTCGGGCCTCAGACTTGTCTTCAGCCGATGCTGCTGACCCGCCGGAGCCTGCAGGCCATGGACACTCCTGAGTCCCATCCAGGGGTGCGGAGGGGGCAGGGCAGCCTGGATCCCCAGGTGTCCAGGAAGAGTGTGAGGGAAGAACAGGTGCACCTCTGAAAACTTTATTTGCAAAACCGATTTAAAAAAAAAATGAATGACTGCTCTCAGCCTCTTAACAGTGGGTGAGCTAGGAAGGGGCACGGGCTCCATTTCTTCTGCTGTTCCCCCACATCTGTGGCCGAGGGGGGGACTGAAATGCCTCGTGTCCCTAGGCAGCCAGCAGCCAGCTCCAACTACATGGTGAGCAGGACAGGAGGGAGAATGAGGCTGGGTCCGACACAGCGAGGCCACCACTCAGCTCGGACATGGCCAGCTCTGTACTGCCAGTGCCAGCCTTCTCTCTCCCTCACACACACACACAGACTCACACACATCAGTGAAACACACAGGGCCCCTGGAAAAAGACAGGTCAGCATACATTTGCCTTCCCAAATGGAGGGGCTCCCACCTCCCCCATCAACCTTCCTGCCCAAGTTGCCACAGCTTTGGGACCAGAAACGAGGCCTGGCCCACACATCTGGGCTTGGCCTAAAATGCCACGGTCAGCTCCACAGGCCCTCAGACCCAACACACCACTGTCCGACCATGACGCGGAGGCCTGGAAGCCACTCCCAGGAACAAGGGTTGAGGAGATAGGGTGGCCAGCAGAGACGGGACTCAGGGCAGGGCCACTGTAACTGGCCTTGGTCTCCAGGGATCTTTTCTGGAGAGGCAGGAGCAGAAGGAACAGATTGGTCTGTGGGCCAAGAGGGTGGAAATGGGACTGGAGAAGTGAGGAAGCCCACAAGACCACCGAGCACTGCCCAAGGGGCAGACAGGCCGCCCGGGAGACACTGAGGTCCCCAGGGAGTGTCCTGATCAGGGTGGAGGGTGCTCGGGCGGGTGGGGTGGGGATTCCTGGGCCACAGCTGAGCTGGACTTCACATCCTGGGGCAGCAGGAGAGTCTTGCCCATGCCCACAGGCCAGCCCGGTCCCATGTGAGTGGGAGGAGGCCTGTGAGCCAGCTGGGGGTTCCTGAGTGCCAGTCGGGACTCTCCCCGAGGCCTCTCACCCAGCCCCTCACCCCCCGAGTCTGGAGGACAAGACTCCTGCCAGCCCCATGGTGGGGGCCGGGCCTCCCGAAGAAAGGGCAGTGAAGGCAAGCCAACCTTTGTGCTTCCCCTTCTTCTCCTTCCTAGAGGCCCCACCCTGGCCCCCTGCCGCGGCGGCCGCCTTGGTTCTCTTGGCTGAGGCTGGTGCTGTGGGGTGGGCAGCTCCCAGGGGCACACTGGCAAGTGAGTCGGCCTCTTGAACTAGCCGGGGAGAGAGAGAGAGAGAAATGCATGCAAGGTGAGACCAGAGCTCCAGCACAACACACCCAGCTCCCCCACCAGGGCCTTTGTACCATCATCCCTCCAGGCAGAGGTGCGCAGGGCAGGCCAGGCTGGAAGGAGGTGGCACCCCCCAGCCCAACAGGGTGATAAAGTCAACAGCCTGGTCTGCACCGTGACCACCCCAGAAGCAGAGCAGCTGGGGAGGCAGAGGGAGTGTGTCTGCGAGAACGGGGGTCACCAATGATGGTGGGTGAAGACAGAAAAGGCTGCAATGTCCAGAAGAGACCAGAGTGAGGGCGAGCACCCCAGGGACTGCACTGTTCTCCTGGGACAAGCCCTTGAAGCAGGAGAATAAATGGATCCCAAGAGCTGCCTGCCAAGTGGAAGGTCTCAGAAGGGCCACCGCTGGTTATCTCCACCCTCTCCAGGCATCAGAAGCCCAATCTGTCAAGGCCCATGAGTGGTTTCTCACTGCTCTTAAGATGACAACCAACGTCCTCCTGCAAGCCCGGCCTTCCCCTTGCCTAACTGTCCTCGTCACCTCCTGGGTATCCCAGGTCCCAGGCAGGCCCTGGATTCCCTTCTGCCTGCCACGGGCCTGCTCTCGCTGTTTCACTGCCTGGACTGCCCTCACGACACAGCCCCCGCTCCCACTAACTCCCATCATCCTGCAAGGTCCAGCTCAGACATCACCTCCTCGGGGAAACCCTGCTCTGGCCACTACTCTGCCATCCACTCGCCAAGCTTGGCTTCCTTCCGCAACCCACACCTATGACAGTCTGTTTCATCCTCTCTCCCCTCCTATATCTTAAGGGCCATGAGAGAACAGAGACTGCATCGGTTTGTGCTCACCCTGGACCCCCAGCCTCTAACCCAAACAGGCTCTCAATAAATATTAGCATGAATGAACACAGCCAGTAGGTCAAAAACTCTCCACTGGGATAAAATACTGGTTCTGATTTATCTCATCTTCTTCTTCTGGAGTTCCCTAGTTGCTCAGATGGTAAAGAATCTGCCTGTAATGCAGGTGACCTGGGTTCAATCCCTGGGTCGGGAAGGTCCTCTAGAAGAAGGGAATGGCAACCCAACTCCAGTATTCTTGCTTGGAGAAGCCCATGGACAGAGGATCCTGGCGGGCTACAGTCTATGGGGTTGCAAAGAGTCAGACACAACTGAACAACTAACACTTGCACATTTTGACATCTTTCTCTGGGAATGATCCCTGTGTATTTAACACCAACAGCCAGCAGAGGGCAGGGCAGAGGCAGCGAGGCTGCAGGAGGCGTGGCTCCTGGAAACCCAAATCCCACATCGGCCAGCAGGGTGAGCAGCCTCCTGGAGCTGGGGAAGCCTGGGCTGGAGAAGCTGCCCTCAGCCTGCCTGGTCCGGAGTCTGGGCAGGCGACAGCATTCTGCTGGCTGGACCTTGCAACACACCATAGCTGCTCCAACCTTCAAAGCCCTGAGACAGAACTTTCCTCACTTTACAGGGAAGGAAACAGACCCAGAGAGGGTAAGTGACTTGCTCATAGTGACAAGTGAGCAGGTGACCCGCACGACCAGAAGCTCTGTCTCTACTTTGGCCATGCACCCCAGAGCCGCCGCCGTCTTTCTGCAGGCCTGGCCCGGCCCAGCACACAGTCAGTGCTCAAGAAACCCCTGCCAAAGTGACTGCACAGATGTGACCTGCCAGACTCTCCTCTCAAAGCCTCAAGATGTTGGCTCTGGCACAAACTGGCAGGTCCTGAAGTCCCCAGAGCAGGCTCCCCTGCCACGGGCAGCCTCAGATGGCCAGGTTCCAGGCTTGGCAGACATGGGGCAGTGATGCCGGGCTCCAATAGATACAGACTGAACTCCACCAAACCCAGAATGTGGGAGGCCTTCTCTGCAGCAGCACCCATGGACAAAGAGAGAGGGGAAGGCTGCCAGGTAAGGCTGGGGTCGGGGGGCCAGTGCCAGGTGGAGCAGCTGGGACTGCCTCCCACACACTGTCCCCTTCTCTAAAGGGCCTCTCAGGTAGAGCAGACACATCAGCTGCGGCCCAGGTGCTGAACTGAAGCATACACAGAGGCATTACTGTGAAGGAGCCTCAAGGAAAGGCAACTACCAGTCGTCTGAAGTGCCTGGAGGCCGCACATCCTGAGGAAGCCCAGAAGGAGGGGAGCACGTCGCTTCCTTCCAACTGCAAAGCCAGAGGCCTGCAAGCTTCTTAAAGTCACTTTTCGATGGAGGAGCTGCCATGATCACTGGCCACCAGCAGGGGGCAGTGGGGACTGAGTCTCAGTCTTCCTTTCAGGCTCAGAGGCGCCCACCCTCTGCCCAGCCTGGGGTCCTCAGCAGGAAGGAGGGTCCTGAGCACTGGGGTGAAATCGACGTGTCCCCGCCCCCAGGATGAGCCCCAGAGAATTCCCTTCCCAGGGAACTCCGCTGAGAACCAGTGTGTACACAGCTAGGAGCTGGAGGCTGCTGGTCACCACGGCTCCGTGCAGAGACCCACGGGCCAGAAGTTGGGCACATTGAGGGTTTGGGGAACCCAGGGAGGGGAGGCGACAGGTGTCTGTCTATCTGTGACAAGAGGAATGGGTGGGCAGCATGTGAGATAGAATCCTCTCGAGAGACAAAAGCTGGCGGGGAGCAGACTGTTCTGCTCCTGGGAGCTGCCTCCTGCTTTCAGGGAAATGTTTCAGATCAGAAACCCGGGCTTTTGAAGTCCCAGGCCCACAAAGCTTTACCTTCTGGCCCCACACCTGGCGTGGGAGCCCCAGGCTCCAGATCCCAGCCTCCCTCCGCCTGCCCCACCCCTCTGCCCACCTGGGCACCCCCAACAGGAAGGGCACTGGCCTGTCCAGGTCAGCAGGAAGTCCCTGAGGGCCCCCGTGAGCAGCCCCAGGGTGGGGTGTACCTTGGTAGCCGGTGCTGCCGCTGAGGTAGGACTCCACCAGGGGGGCCTGCTCCTCCGACTGCCGGGCCCGCCGGCTCCGGGGCCGCCCGTCGGCATTGGCCTGCACCATCAGAGGCTCCTGGCGCTTCTTTTTCTGCTTCTGCTCCAGCAGGGCCCGCTACAGAGGCAGCGGACACACACACGGGTTGGCGGGCCCTGAGCGGGCTGACTGCCTCCCCAAGGGAAGACGCCCAGATGGGGACTTGGGGGGGGCGCCTTCTGGCTCCGTGTGGTTCCAGAGGTCACAGGGGGGTCCATAGCCCACTCTGACCTCGTGTCCTTGTGCCCCAGGGCTTGGGGTCCAAGGGAAGCAGGCAAGGGTCAGTCCAGGTAGCTGCCCGGCAGGGTCACAGCACAATGACCTGAGCTGCCTCCCAGCAGGAGCCCTAGATGCCAGGGTGGTGCTAATAACAAGCTGGTGAAGGAGAGAGCTCACCACTTCTCTCCCGGGAGGGCCCCCTCTCTCCACCACACAGGATCACCCAGGGACGGGGTGGCTGGAGGACGGCTCCCCCACCCCCTGCCCTTGGAGACCCCGTCCAGACTCCGGCCTGGATGGCGCGTGCTGACCGCCCTCCCACCTGGCTCCAGCCTCACTCACCTGCCGGTCAAGCTTCTGCTGCCGCAGGTTGCTGCCCTCATCATCTAAGACACTGCAGGGGGAGAGAGGGGCACTCAGGGCCAGCCCACGAGGACCACCCCGAGCCCTCTCCCGGCACGTCTGGGTTCTTTAAGCCCCTCCTGTCATGGCTGCTGGGCATGGGACGGGGAAGAAGGGTCAAGCTATATTCTGGGAACTGCCTAGAGACATAAAGACACGAGCCGTCTTTCTGCCACTTCAGGGACTTACCTCCTGTTGGGATCCCTGCTGCCCAAGGACTTCCCAGCCTACCCCGCCCCAGTAAACTGAGGAGGAAACTCTCCCCTTGGGCCCATTAGGGCCCGGCCTGACTGAGATCCAGGGGTATCAGTCAGAAGCCAGGCCCAAGGCGGGGCTTCAGACTCAAGGGCCTGCCCCTCCGGCTCCACCCCTCCATCTTTCCATGCTTCTGGTGGGAGCTGGGTCTTCTGGGGCAGACTCTCGCCATCCATTCAAGGCCAACTCCTGGCTCTCCAGGTGGTAAAGTGGAGATGCTGACACTGCCCACCCCCCCCCACCCCATGTAAAGAGGACCCCTTATTTTGGAGAGTGAAACGGAAACACCAACCAGTCCCTCGGGGCACAGTGAGGGCTGGGTGCAGATGTCTGCAGGGTGGACACAGCACATCGAGGCACAGCCCAGCAACCAGCTGCCGGGTCCTTCCCTGGCCACCTACATGGTGCAAGCAGCTGCAGGGCCTCAAATCCTTGAGGCCCTAACTAATAAGGTCGTGGAACCGGCAGCCTCATCTCACATAGACTGGCCCTGCCTTCAAGTAAGGCAGGGCATGAAGAGGGAGCACCAACCACTTAAGCTTTCTTTCTAGTCTAAGACACAAGTATGAGACCTAGACCCAAGCCTATAAAGCCAAGGTCAGGCCAGCTGCATGGTGTGGGGCTGGAGCCTGAGGATATGAGCTCTGGGAACCCCCAGGATGCCCTGGCCCCCTTATTCCGGGGCCTGCCCCTGAACCAGACCTTGTGTGGGTGCCTGCACAGGTATGTCCAAGTGTGCTGGGTTTGTGTGTGAGGCAGTAGGAGGATCTCATGTGTGTGTGCACACTGGAAGATGTCCCAATGTGTGGAAGCATGTCCACATGTGTAAGCACATATCTGGATATGCATGCATGCAGACACCGTGTCAGAGGTGGGTGTCCTGAATGTAGCTGAACACAGTCACATATAAGGAGGTCACATCACCCTGAAGGCAAGGTGAGGCGATCCACCTCCTCCTGACAGCAGCAGCCCTTCCCAGCTGGAACAATCATTGACCTGAAATGTCCTTTCAGCTCAGCACACTGCTTGTGCTGCAGGGGCCTGGCCAGCGGGTGGCGGGGAGTCCATGGATTGCCGACGGCCCACCACCCAGCCCTCTGGCTTCACCACCTCCCTGGCCACGACCTGTGAAGACTGCCTATTTTGAACTAGCAGCTGTCCTACCTATTTGACATCTGGGAAGGACTTGCCCGATGCCCATGGGCTATTCTACACACAAGAAGAGCCTGATTGTGACCTGGGGCCCTGCACAGAACAGCCTCATTCACCAAACCCTCAGTGGCCAGAGCACAGGAGAACACACTACTCAGACATGCTTCTAGTCAAGGCCTCAGTCCACCTAAAAGAGCCCACCTGCCTAAGAGCACGCGGCTGCACATGGGCCTCCCCAAGGGCAATGCTAGGCCCAGAGGACAGGGAATAGCTCTGAAAAATCCCAGGGGCTGGGACAGTGAGGGTCCTGTCACAGGAGGCCGCACACGGGACAGGCGGGGCAGGAGGTGAGCAGGATGCCTGGGAGTCTGGCCAGGTCCAGAGGCTATAACTCTCCTCCTGTCTCTCTGCCTCCAGCCAATGGCCTGACGAGAGCACAAGGGCCACACAGCCTCAAAGGGTCAGGGTGCCAACACCACTGTCCTCGTGGTCCACGGAGCCCAGCCTGGCTCTGTGTGCCGCCTGGCCGAGAGGGGCAACGGGGCCTGAACGCCAGCTGTGCCTTGGCACGAGTGGGGCAGCCTGCATCTCACGCATGTTGGCCACCTCTGCAAGGCCGTGCTGCCTCCCCTTCCTGCCAGCAGGAGAGACTGTTTCCTCGCTCACTGGGATGACGCAATCCAGTCATCTAGGTCATCCCTGGCCCTAGGCTTGGCTGAGCAGGACACAGTTGACTATTTCCATGGTGCTGACACCATGCAAGGAGCTGACACCTAACGTGAAAGGGCAACATCCCACTGAGAGGTAAGCTCACATCGGCAATGCCACCTCCGAACTGCGGGCAACAGTGGTTGCTCAACTGACAAAAAGTGGTTCCTGCCACTGTGGCCTCCTTGCTCAGTGTTCCCCCGCCCCAACAACCTCATCCACGTGGGGAGGACATCTGTTCCACTGCCATGGACTTTCTACTCTGTTCCATCACTTCCTCTTCCTCTGTCCCCACCTCCATCCCCCAAAGAGGGAGAATGACAAAGAGCTGCACCAAGTACGATTACAGGTAGAAAGGACTTAATCACCGGCCTTCAGAGAAAGATGGATGAACACAAGGGTGAGGCTTCTGAAGAGATTCCAGAAACTCAGATACCCCATAAGTGCCTGGAGAGCCACCCCCCTCCACCTCCCCACCAGGAGCGCTGTGTGAGTGAAGGATGCAGGGGAGTGGGGGATGCAGGGCAGGGGGTGGCAACTGGGGAGAAGCAACATGTGTCTGGTGAGCAAGAACACGCCTGGCTGAGCAAGACCTACCCAGGAGGGCCGACAATAAATCCAGCTAAACGAGGAGGCTCTGAGAGCCGCCCCTGCGGGGCAGCAGGGTGCTTCCCTGAGAGCCACAAAGGCAAAGGGTGGACCACAATCATCTGGCACCAGCCAGCTGGCAGTGGGTGGTGGTTCTGCCTGACAACAATGTATCCGGAGCGCACAGCATCTGTCGCTGGTGAATAACAAAGAATCCCCTGCACACAGCTAAACAATGACAACAATGCTGGCCGTCTCCAGGGAGGGCAGAACCAGAGCTCCTCTCTACCCCGACAGCAGCCCAGCCAATCCTTCCCGCCGCACCTCCCCCAGAGAGCCCTGCCTCCCAACAGAATCTCTCCCAGGCATCTTCCTTCCTCGCTCCCCGGCCTGCCTCCTTCTGCCTCTGTTCTAGACAGCACTAAACGCTAACCATGAAAGGAGACAGTAATGGCCTTTTAATGACTCGGGCTCCAATTATGGAATCACTGCCAAGCCCAGGCTGCCAGCTGCAGCCCCGCCAGGAGACTCGGACAGGAGACAGGGCACTGATGGACGGGTCTTCCAGCTGACCCCGGCAGCTCCTTCACGATGGTCACCAGCGAGGCCGGGGGAAGCACTGGCCACTGGCTCGTGAAAGCCAGAGAAACCTGGTCTGCAGTGTGCATCCATCCATCTGCTCTGCCCAAGGCCAATCAAGTGACCCCCTCACCTCCCAGAAGACAGCCCCTCCACATTCCCCGGCTTCTTCAAAGCTGCTGGACAGATACCTGAAAGCGAACTGTGCATGACAGCAAGGGTCAGGGATACTTCTTCTAGGGGCTGGAAAAGCCAGACTTGGCCAACGTCGCTAGGAACCCAGGTCCCCCCCCTCATTAGACCCCACCTCCATTCTCCAGCTAATCCACAGAGCCGAGAGGCCAGGTCAACCTCGGAGTAGACTCAGTCTCCGTGACCACTCCCTGCCCCCTGCTCCCTTTCCTCCCGCTCAGTCACAGCGGGGCCTGTGGACTCTGGCAGTCAGACAAGTGTGTTGTCCGGGGAGGAAAGACCACCTGCTTGGCTGTGAACTCTGTGCCCAATGCTGGAACCTCCCCACTCCCCAGCATATCCAGACCTGTGGCTTCTGTTGCCCAGTGGCTGCTTGGGACATTGTGGGCAACACGGTGGAGGTGGGAACAGAGGCAACCCCAGAAGGGAGAGGACCACACTGCTCACAAGAGCTCAGCCTCCCAGGATGAGGCTTCTCCATGCCAGCCACTGGCTCCCAAACTTACCAGGTGAGTCCCAACTGCTGGGGGCACTCAGCCCTGACTTGATAGTTCAGACCTGCTGGGGTAGTTGCCCCAGAATCAATCCCCCACCTCACACTTTTCTTTTTCAAAGCCAACGACACATGTGATTATAATGCTCCGCTATGCAAGTAGAGACCAGGAGTCAGAGCTTGTGATCTCTAAAGAACAAAAAAGAAACTGAGAAGTTTCTCTAAGGCTGGAAGCATGCAAGCACAGTCTTCTGTTCAGATGCGGGAAAATATAGTGTGCAGAACAGGGTGGCCCCAGGCAAGACTGTGGAAGGGGTCAACTGAATATCTAGACAGGATGTGACCATTAGGAGCAAGGCCAGTATGCTGGTAAGTCAGGGCACATGTCCTCGGGCCTATCAGACAAGACGGGAGGACAGTACAGCCAGGCCTCCGCATGTAGCTGCAGGGACCAGTGATACCACCGTGTGGGTAGGACGAAGCCACGTAAGTGGTGTGCTATGTCAGTCAGATGGATAAAGGTTTTGGCAACAATCGGTCATGTCATCATCAAAGGAAGCTTCTATTAATAGCATCATGCTTCTCTTGGTTAGCAGGTTTTTCGATGACCTGACACAAGGCAGGCCTCTGAGCAGACTTACAGGTGAAACAAAGTAGAAGAGATACTAACTGTTCACTAAGAGAGCGTGCATTCAGAAGACCCTAGAAGCCTAACAGGAAGTGGTCCAATCTTACAGGGGGGTCCCCAAACACCCCGTCTTCCCACACAGGCAGAATGCAGAAGACAGGGCTTGACATCAGCCTGATGAAAGACTCTGCAGTTTTGCTCACAGAGGCCTTGAGGGGAGCGGTCAGTATCAAAGCCATCCCCTGGGGGTGGTAAGGGCTGGAGGGCAGAGGTCCACAGTGAGGAAATAACAGCCTCACTCTGCTCGATGCTGGACATCTGGACAGGCCACAGCCAGGACCCTGCCTGTGGCTCCAGGAGGTGGAGGAGGGCAGAGACCAATCCGAGCGCATCCACA